TGGTCGAATTGCTGGAAAGAAACCACTATTAAAGGACACCAATAATAAGAAGAGACTTGCTTGGGCCAAGAAACACAAGCAATGGACATTAGACCGGTGGAAATGTGTCTTTTGGTCTGGAATCCAAATTGGAGATTTTTGGTTCCAACCGCCGTGTCTTTAAGAGACGCAGTGTGGGTGAACGGATGATCTCTGCATGTGTAATTCCCACTGTAAAGCATGGAGGAGGAGGTGTTATGGTGTGGGAGTGCTTTGCTGGTGACACTGTCTGTGATTTATTTAGAATTCAAGGCACACTTAACCAGCATGGCTACCACTGCATTCTGCGACAATACGCCATCCCATCTAGTTTGGGCTTAGTGGGACTATCATTTGCTTTTCAACAGGACAATGACCCAACACACCTCCAGGCTGTGTAAGGGCTATTTTACCAAGAAGGAGAGTGATGGAGTGCTGCATCAGATGACCTGACCTCCACAATCCCCCGACCTCAACCAAACTGCAGAGTGAAGGAAAAGCAGCCAACAAGTGCTCAGCATATGTGGGAACTCCTTCAAGACTGTTGGAAACGCATTCCAGGTGAAGCTGGTTAAGAGAATGCCAAGAGTGTGCAAAGCTGTCATCAAGGCAAAGGGTGGCTATTTGAAGAATCTCAAATATATAATATATTTTGATTTGTTTAACACTTTTTTGGTTACTACATGATTCCATATGTGTTCCTTCATAGTTTTGATGTCTTCACTATTATTCTACAATGTAAAAAATAGTAAAAATAAAGAAAAACCCTTGAATGAGTAGGTGTTCTAAAGCTTTTGACCGGTAGTGTAGTATACACATATCGAGTGTGATCAACACAATTTAATGTGATCAATGACTAACACAAACACATATCTACATAAACAATAAATGCATATGAGAATGGCCTTTTAGCAATAGCAATAGCATGTTTCTCTATCTGAAATCACTGCATGTTGAGCATCCTGTCGAAGTAAAGTGGTGTGAACTTGTACCCAGATTCATTGTAGAACTTGTTTCGGAATTCAACCCGGTAAAGGATAAATGAGACATAAAAACATAACGTTTGGAAACATCATAAAACTGTAGTTTAATTATTGTCTTATTGTTGTAGCGATGTCATTCATCTGGATTGGCTGCCATTGCTGCTTCAGTTGTTTTAATAAGCTCATGGTCTGTTATGTGAATGGAGTGTTGCAGAATTCGAAGGCTATATCAGGTTGTGTGTGCGGGGTTGTGTATTCACATGCATGTGTTTGTATTCACATGCATACACACACAGTTAATTTTAAGAAATCTGCATTGATGTGCACCCTAAATCTGTCTGTGTACACCCTGAATGCTTTGTAATTAAATCAAGTTCGGGGTACTTACTGATCCCTTTATCATAGCGGGTGTGCACAGAGTTTAAGTCAGACACTGGACACCAAATCTCAGCAACAATCAGCTTCTGTGTGATGTCTATGTTACAGAGGTTCAGTGTGTAATAGATGGCCTTCATCTTCTTTACTTTAGTGGTCCACTCCTGGAGGTTGGCTGCTGCTGCTGTAGTAAGGGCAGTCGCACGGAACTGTTCTGTCCTCTTCAGGACCTGACAGAAGCGAGGAGAAGTGGAAGGAAGGAAGGAAGGAAGGAAAGGAAGGAGAGAGGAGGAAGGAAGGAAGGAAGGGAAGGAAGGAAGGAAGGAAGGAAGGAAGGAAAACAAACAAAGAAGTCAATTAATTTGATGAGATCAAAATGAGGGTAATATGCCCGGAATCTGAAAAGAGGAGTCGGATGGGCAAAGAACTTTATTGATGAGATCTACTCTTCCCATACGAACGATCTGTGCACGTGAATAGCAGTAGTCTTGACCCATCATACTCAATACCTCAGTTACATACAGTATGCAGCATCATCGTGAAAGGGTTATATAACAGACCATTTACCATTCGAAGTTCTTCAATGCGCGTGTTGACATTTGTTCTCACCTCCTTTTGTGCATATGCATTGTTGAGAGTAGAACATAATATTAATCTTTGAGAGCAGTTTTATTTTCTTATTATTTTACTTTTGACATACTCAAGGGATAATTTCACTAACCCATCACATAACTTTCTGATCTTTCTTCTGACCTGGTCTCCTTGGACAAATACAACAAACACATCCTTCTTCACTGGATACTCCTATGAGCAGAAAACAGTCACAAACATAATAAACGTGCCTGAGGACAGAAGAGGAAGGCATCATGTTTCCCAGTGGACAAAAATACATTGTTACTTGGTTGTAATCTGGTTATCTGACTTCTCAACAACCAGACAACAACCTGAAAAATATGTAATTATGACTTCCCATGCCCGGTTTTGCCCATTGAGTAGCAGGCACACACACTGTAAGACCTACTCTAGTGCTTTTTTTCTGTGGTTAGCCTGACTAGTAACATGAGGTTAAAAATCTACCTAAGTTGGTGCTAGTGTAACTGGTGCATCAGCTTGTCATCCTGGACGAGTACACTGAATCCTCAGAAGGAAGCTCAGCTGGGACTCAGCTGTTTATGTTATTATTCTTTATGACATTTATGTAATTCTTATCTTTCCATCTTGCCATCCCAGTATTTGTCATAGAAGGGCATAAGTCTAATGCTGTCAGTTATTTACCTCCTCAAAAAAGTCAGCAGTCATCTGCAGGAGATGGTTGATCTCCATTAGTTGAGTGTTCTGCCTGAGTGTCTCGGATTGAGTTGGTCTCCTTCAGCTCCTGCTCCAGTTGATCAAAGCTAGACTGAGGTAACAGAAATGGAGGAATGTGGATGCCATTCAAATCAGTTTGTTTCAAATCATAGTTGTTGGCATAACTTGGCATAAACAAGGTCAACTTAAAACTAATGATTACACGGAGCCAACCATGAGAGCAAGCATCTCACCACTAAATCCAGAACATCTCAAAGGTATTCTCTCACTAGTAAATTCTGCTGGGATGGGGATGTTTGCCTTCACAACCTCCTTTTACAGGAATCCTAGTAGAAATTGAGCACAATATTTAGTGAGGGAATATTATATGTATCAATCAAAAGGGGCTTTCGTCCAGACTCCTATGTATTTAAATGTACCTTTAGAAACACCATACTTACGAAGAATTTCTGAAACTTCCCTCACAAATCTGCACTGAAAGGACACTGTTCCAGGATTTAGCTAAAACATAAAAATAACCTGTATACTTCAATTGGCTTATATAGCCTACCTGTTAGGAATAGCCTAATTAGCAGTTTAAGTAATGATTTCAGTGTCAACAATTTTCTCATATTCTGCTTGAAGTGTTTACCTTCATTAGAAAACACAACTAACACTGAATCAAGTAATGTAACCAAACTTAATGACAAAAATAATCAATAACATGTTACAATCATGTAATTGCATAAGTAAATGCAAGATAATAAATGAGGCACAAAAATAACAGTTTGGTTTGGTGAATGTTTTTTGTGGAAGGCTTTACAGACAACATCCATTAATCTTAACCTGAGAGGGCAATCAAAAGGCCTATCCATGTGTAATACAGTCTATCCACGTTTCACATGTTATTTGTCATTACAATGCATAATACATTAGATAGTTTCAGCTCTTTCCTTCAATGACTATATGATTCAACTTACAGTAAAATGTTAATATCAATACACATTTTAGAGTGATATTGCATCCAGAGTACATGGTTCAATCAATACGTTATAGACTGGTGTGCACATAAATTGATGTACTTCATGCCATTAGCCATATTGTGCTCAGTTTAACACTATTTAAACTGGGGTGACCGTTACAAAAATCTGTTTTTTATTTGATTAATTGAATATGAACAAAATATTAACTAAATTAATATTTCAACATATTCATGAGAAACATCAAATGTAAATAAAAAGTGGTAGATACAGTGTACCACATTTCCACTGATTTGACTGGAAATGTGACATCTTTAAATTGCACCAGTCCTAGATGCTCAAACTCCTTGATGCAGTTGTGAGCTGACTCAGTTTGGAAAACAGCCCTGCAAGGCACATATCTTCACTCCGAAAAAAGGAATCCATCTTTTAGTCAAAATAGTCCTGATTTCTCTTCGGTGATCCTAAAACTAAACCCTGTGTTGTGCTCTTGGAATAACAACATTCACAGCAAGCACCTCAGCTGTCTGGCAAAGGCTTGACTGTGATTTCTATGTGGTAATACTCATCAATGTGTCTTTTGAACGGCAGTCCAAAAATGAAATGGAAAGAGTGGTTGTGTCATCAGGATCAATAATGCAACTGATGTTGTGGTCTCCAACACCACAGGACTGAGAGAGCAATAGAGACGCGATATGAGCCATGTAATAAGTCATGTAATATGTAAGCTATGTTATCAAATCAAAATGTATTGCGCCAAATATTTTACCGTGAAATGCTTGGTTACGAGCCCTTCCCAACACTTATAAGCATGTACTAAGCCATGTAATACGCCTCTAGTTAGGCTACTCATGAGGTCAACTTCTACTGAAACTCAGTGCCAGAACAATCACATTCTGTCAGTTTGAGTGTTTTGAATATATATTTTTTCTTTTAGAAATATGGTGATTCGGAATATGGGAAATTGTAATTTATACTAGTTGGTAAGTAACCTGTGAATAATCATTTTAAAATGGATTGGTAAAATGTAAATGTGTATTTTCTATCTGCCAGATAGACCTATCCCTCTTATTAATTTGTTTTATATGTGAGAGCACATAAGGCCTGCATTTTTTAAATCCATTATAATAATTTAAATAATTATAATTTCTTATACTTTAATGAATGTAATTGTCTTACTCCTTGTTAACAAAATAAAGTTAGTAGGCTTAGGCTGTAGCTTTAGCAAATGTCGCGTTATAACGTATCCCACTAGGCTACAATCGGAATCTCCTCCCCACACATACTTTATTTATGGTGTGATCTTACCGCTCCACCGCAAAGCGTGCTTCAATGATTGGGGGTGGTCTCGCGTCATGTGATACCCAAGCATCACCGAAGTCCTTTGTTGATGGTGATTCACAAAACCTCACTCAGACATTGTTTGGGTAAATTGCTACAACAATATCATTTATTTTCGCATTTGCTGGGATTGTGTTGAGGAAGGATGTAGAGAGATTCTCGGAGGGACATTTTAAACCAGCTGTTTGCCGCTGGGATAAAATAGAGGCAGACCCGTCAAAGGTAAAGGCGACAGTCAAAATAGCCCATGATAGCACACCCTATCCCGTACGACTGCCAGACGAGCGATCAATAGAGCAAAGCCAACATTTCGTTTATGCAGTTTGTGTGCTAAAGTCCGATATAATGCCGTTTTTTCTATGGCTATGCTGGGAGATAATCCCCGTTCTGCGAAGGAGATGAAAGCTTTCTCTAGCGGTGGGTGAAACGGTTTGCCAACAACAACGCGTTTTGTTCTCCGTCTATCAATTCACTTATGGTGGATTCGTTGGTATATTTCTGCAATTTGAATGAAAAAAAGGCATATGTTGTGATTTGGAGAAACGACGGTTTCCACTCTACACAGCATCATGTCCATAAAATATCCCCTCTCATCTCACGGACCCTCAGCAGGCAGTTTTCTCTCTGTCCTCTGCCTTTTGGCCGCCTCTATACTGCCTGGAGCACAAGCCTCTTACCTTGAGAGCAGCGAATGTGTCTCAGGAAAAGGCAAGGGCTGCTTAGGTGAGTATCAATGAATTTACTTTATCAATTAACTTTGCCAAAGCAAGCTCTTGTATGGGAATAATTTGTGTTTATCAGACACACATCCTGGAGGTCTTTATCGTCCTTGCTGAATGGGGGGGGGGGGGGGGGGGGGGGGTTGGTGAGGTGCATGCAGGGAAGAATATCCATATTTGAACCCCACCCTGGATTGTCCTGCTTTCTTTGGTTGGGTTTCATTATTAAATGGTAACAGTCATTGCTCAGTTTCTTGGTTAGGAGTAATGACTTTTGTTTATATACAACAGTGGTGGAAAAAGTACCCAACTGTCATACTTGAGTAAAAGTAAAAATACGTTAATAGAAAATGACTCAAGTAAAAGTGAAAGTCACCCAGTAAAATACTACTTGAGTAAAAGTCTAAAAGTATTTGGTTTTAAATATACTTAAGTATCCAATAAATGTAATTGCTCAAATATACTTAAGTATCAAAAGTAAAAGTATAAATCATTTCAAATTCCTTATATTAAGCAAAACAGACACGGCACGATTTTTTGTTTTTAAATTTACGGATAGCCAGGGGCACACTCCAACACTCAGACATCATTTACAAACGAAGCATGTGTGTTCAGTGAGTTCGCCAGATCAGAGGCAGTAGGGATGACCAGGAATGTTCTCTGCATTAGTGCGTGAATTGGAAAAATGTCCTGTCCTGCTAATCATTCAAAATGTAACGTGTACTTTTGGGTGTCAGGGAAAATGTATGGAGTAATTATTATTTTCTTTAGGAATGTAGTGAAGTAAAAGTACAAAAATATAAATAGTAAAGTACAGATACCCCCCAAAAACGACTTATTAGTACTTTAAAGTATTTTTTCTCAAGTACTTTACACCACTGGTATACAGTGTCATCATGGGTTAAATTCAGGGTAAATTAATTTTACTCTTTATACCCAGAATATATATGGTTGCTAAAAGGTCACATCTGCTATGTGGTTTCCTAAGGGGTTCCACCACTTTAGGATGGAAGCCAACATTCAGTGTGACTTTGACAGGTTGGCCTATGTTTGATGATATTTAAGATGAATGGAAATTTAAACACGTTGTGGTTCCACCCTCTCCTTAATCCCATAAACCTTGAGTGTCTTCCTCTCAGCTCAGCTGGTAGAGCACGGCGCTTGTAACGCCAAGGTAGTGGGTTCGATCCCCGGGACCACCCATACACAAAAAAAAAAATGTATGCACGCATGACTGTAAGTCGCTTTGGATAAAAGCGTCTGCTAAATGGCATATTATTATTATTATTATTCCCATAACAAGGCCTATGTATTGTATTCATTCAGTAGGCTACGGTTTCCCCTTTTATTTAAAAGCAGCCAATTTATAACAAAGAGCGAGCTGTCCTGATAAAGCCAATTGTTTTCCTCTTGTCAATCTATTTGTTTACATTTGCTGCTTGCCTGATTAACTTCCGTCAATAAGCAGGCCATTCCTTTTCCCCATGGTCCTGGTTGCTCTTCAAACAACCTATCATTGGGTGCTGATCCCAAACCCCTTAGTAAACCCCATAGCAGATGTGACCTTAGCAGAATGGAAATATAATAACCATATAATTTCTTACCTTTATTCAGTGCTTATTTCTTCCATCGTTTTCAGGTTGAGGCATGTAGCTGGATCTAGTGGACCCAAATGAAAATGTGGGATGTGGATTAAGCTTGACCTGACATTAGACTACTTCTGAAAATATCAGACAACATTTTCATTTTAGAGTGAACTGTCCCTTTAAATACAGTGAAGTGTGGTATTTCCCAACTGTTACTGAGAAATACAGATTTTATTTCTCAAAGCATACATTGATTGGGTTGAATTCAGTGGAAGCACGGTTGTTGTTAACCTGCACTGCTATAAAGAACAAACATCGATAAAACAGCCAGAATTACCTAACTTACATTACACATGTGCCTATATTGCAGGTCAGGATCAATGCTATTTCATTAGGGTTTGATTTAATTCTAGCTCTGGTCCCACTATGACTTCTACTGCAGTGTTTTAAAGACTAGTGTTCCTATACAGTGGTGGTATTGATTGATTACAGAGGACTTTTAGGTCATGACCCGTATTTAATCGGCTAGCTTCGGGACCCCAGGGCGACAGTGACTTTAATGAGGAAATGAGCCGTTTGGTCAATAGTGCTTTAAGTACAGGGTGACTGGGATCGGGGATAGCCCCTTTATATCGAGACTGTGACCATTGGTTGAGTAACACACAGATCTATTGAGAAGAGGAGGGGATTGTTAGGAGTGGCTGATTATAATCTTTGGCCTGAAACTACTTTGCCTCCCATTTGTTCAAAGGTTGGGTTATTAGACCCTGCGGCGTGTTTACCTGTCTCAACACAATGGTTTAGTAGTATAGTGGCTTCCTCTTCTTAAACATTCTCTAACAGTGGGGATAAGACAACATCAAGCGCCTACTGCATGTTGAAATAGGTCTTCCCTCATGGGGACTGCCGATTTGAGCAGGAGGGAACTTCAGTTCAAACCTCAGTGAAGTAGGATTCTTCCATTCCCATCACCTCTCATTTTCTCTCTCTTTTTCTCTCTCTTTCCTTCGCTCCCTCTTATCTCTTTATTTCTCATTCTTTCTCTTTCTCTCCATCCCCCTCTCCATCCCCCCCTCCGTCTCTCTCCCTCCCTCCCTGTAAATCTCACAGGCAAGGGTTTTCCAATGTGCTGCTAGTTGATAGGAGGGCTGGGTGATAATGCTGTTGACCCCGGGAGGATGTAAATGGCTGCTGTCGAACCTGCCAGGAAGGCTGGGAAGGCCTTCTCACTCCTCCATTAGAGCTCTGCGTTAACCTTTCCTCCAGAGTCAAACACTCTCCCTCAGGGTGTCCATGGACCTAGAGTTGTTCTGGCACAGTAGCACAACAGTCATTTTGCACACCTACTGTAGCTAGTGAAAAACAGAATATAATACAACTGAATGTCAACATGGGAAATAAAATCCTCTGTAAGTTCACTTCATCCATAATGTTTTTGACAGTTTACTGTTACTGGTTGATTAAAGTTAATCTTGAAGACTCGCATCGCTGAGGAGTTGTTTTGACCAAATTCATTGATCCGGATGATGTAATCCAATGTAATTCCCTACTTATGACCAGGCTAATGATGAACTTATTCAAACAATATTGTGATGGCATACCTTACTATAATTGCCTTGTAAGCCCACTTAGGCAACCTGAAACCCTATCATTCCTATCAGGAATGCCTCTCACACATAATGTGCTTGAGCTCCTGATCAAAGATTATCAGATCGGATTTTACCCTCTTCTCCAATCTTTTCAAGTCTGTTCTCTGGGTCCCTATTGATGGTTATTGGCTTTGCTTTCCTATGATCATGCAATGCCAAGGCATTACTGTGTAAACGAGGACCGACTCGTCCGAATGACCAGTAGTGGCTAGATATCGCAGTCCAGTTATGCTGGGCAGTGACTGTTGCTCAATGCACATTGCACTGACTTTCTCAATAAACTTGTACAAACGATGCACAGCTAAGCTCTCTGTACCGGATCTCTCATTAGTAGAACCGTTGACGAAGTGAGGCGATGACTATTGATGTCTTGTGGCAAAGGAGTTGGATGGCTACGTGTTGCTAATGACCCGGGTCTTCGCTACGTTGACCCGGGTCTTCGCTACATTGACTCCTCTCTTTTTAGTGCCATTGATTTGTCCTTCTCCTTCCTCTGATAAATATCACCCAGTGTGAGAGAGTGAGAGATGTTCAAGTGTATGGGCTTTGGTCTTATACAAGTGTGTCGGATGGATGAAAGTCAATACTGGAAGGTGTATTCAAGTGGCCGTGAACTCTTAAGTTGTCAGGGCTTTGGTTCATACTGGATTTTAGCCTGGAATCCAAACTGATTTACTCTGTTTTGTGGTGAAACAGCATATAAGTTTGGATCCCGGGCTAACTGTATTTTAGGTAAACAAATGTGTTTCCAGGTAGGCTACACCGTAGGAGGTTTTTCTCGAAGGCTGTAGTTTGGGAAATAATTGTGTTTTGAGTTTAACGTTTTCACACACTATTTGCTCCAATCTTCATGTTATAAAATGTCTCCCAGGTAGAAAACCAATGTCACATAAATACTAGTACACAACATAGAATATACTAGATATTCATATGGTTTTACAAATGGATCACTATAATAATGGTATTTCACTGCCATGCTGATAAGAACACCTTGTTTTTAACAGATTTGTCTGAGAAGAAGAGTGACCTGAGAGTGTGTGATGCTGCAACATGCCGTTACGGGGGGACCTGTCAAGAGAATGGGGCTGACCTGAAATGTGTCTGCCAGTTCCATGTAAGTAACACAGTGGAATATAGGCTATCATGTTCTCTGTTGTCAAATAAGACTGCCATTACCATTGCCATGAGCATGAGAGCAAGCAGGAATGGCTTTGCCAAAGCAAATCAGCTCCTAAATGTATGTAGTTCTGTCCTTGAGCTGTTCTTGTCTATTAATGTTCTGTATTATGTCAGCTTTCATGTGTTGTGTGGACCCCAGGAAGAGTAGCTGCTACTTTTGCAACAGCTAATGGGGATCCTAATAAAATACCAATACCAAGTGATTTTAATTTAGGAAATCTGTTCCAAAGTATTCCCTCACATAATAGAGAGACATACTGTATGTGGTCGTATACAAATGTAAGCAAGGTTTTAGTCAAATATTATATCTGTTTGGGCTTCTTGCAGTCAATTTGCAGTCTACAAATTATTTGTAATTTAGTTCTGGCCCCCTGACTATCTGCACAAGAAAAAAGAAAGAAATGTCCCGTGGCTGAATCTAGTTGATGATCCCTGGTCTAGGCTATGATGGTTCAGTAACATCCTTCCATTGCCCGTTGTGTCTTAGTGCTCTAAGAAGTACATCCCTGTTTGTGGGTCCAATGGAGACACCTATCAGAACGAGTGCTTCTTGAGGAGAGCAGCGTGCAAGCAGCAGAAGTCCATATCACAGGTCTCTGAAGGGGCCTGCTATACAGGTGAGTCTTAGTCGCAGGCTGCACACTTTCACTCAAGAGAGTACAGAATCACCTTCATGGAGCACCTTTTTTATCACTTGATTCTGTCCCTAGTCATTTTGTTATTAATAATTTTAGACCAAGCTGAAGCTAACTCATTTTCTATGCTGTAACACACAGATGGCAGTTCTGGATCAGGCGACGGAGGTACAGTGTCATAACTTCGTCTTGCTTCACTTTAATACATTTGACTTGCCAACCCATGTTATAGTGTTACAGTAAAAGCTGGTTAAACATAGCCTGCTTAAACAAAAGCTTTGCAGATCCAAACACTAATAGAACAATATTAACTCTGTTGACAGCTACCATTAACACATTTTTGAAATACTCTCCTTTTCTACAGATGATGAAGGATCAGGCACAGGCAGAGGGAAAAAGCCCACAAAATGCGTCAACTGCAAGTTTGGAGCAGAATGCGATGTGGACTCTGAGGATGTATTGTGAGTACTTTCCACTGCAGCTATTGTGCTCTCAGTAGTCCTAAGGAGGACTCGTCTTCATCAGCTATTGTGCTCTCAGTAGTCTCTAAGGAGGACTCGTCTTCATCAGCTATTGTGCTCTCAGTAGTCTCTGAAAGGAGTACTCGTCTTCATCAGCTATTGTGCTCTCAGTAGTCTCTGAAAGGAGGACTCGTCTTCATCAGCTATTGTGCTCTCAGTAGTCTCTGAAAGGAGGACTCGTCTTCATCTGGATCCCAATAAGCTGACGCCTTAGCGACCGCTAGTCCTTCATAGATATCTTCGCTTATTTTCTCCATATACTGGGGTCCTGGGTTGTCCCATTCGATTCAAATTGATTGATGGTGTATGTTTAGCACTGTTAATGAACACAGTGTTAATACAATGTTCATTAAACAGATGTTTATTATAAATGTTTTCTTCGACACCCAGGTGTATGTGTAACATTGACTGCAGTGGCCATAATGACAACCCGGTGTGTGGAACAGATGGAAAATCCTACATGACCCCCTGTCACGTAAGAGAGGCTTCGTGCTTGAAGCAGGTGAAGATTGATGTGAAGCATCTAGGGAGGTGTCCAGGTAATGCCACGTTTTAATCTTAAAATGTAATTTAGAAACATGTCATTTTATGCCCTATGTACTGTATTTACACTGCGTTCTGGGGAAAAACATTGGATTGTGGCTTTCGATGGATTAGATTTATTATTCACTATCTCAGGGAAATAAAATAAATCACAATTTCATATTTGACTGAGATTATTGATGTAGTGATGAGGGGATCCTGCTGTAATGCAACATCCTACTTAGTAGTTGAGTACAGTGTCCTAGATATCCTCCCCTGCATGGGTTCCTGGTGCCAGTCCTGATATTCCTGATATGTGCTGTGTTTATATAAGCATCCCACCCACCAGTCTTAACTTTCCTCTACATCTATATCACTTTATACTGGCAGTGACCTATATGATGGCTAGTTAATGTCAAACTCTGATGTTTCTGTTGTGAACACATTCAGAACAATATGATGCCCACCCCAATTGGTTGATTGATTCTCACTATGACTATGCAGTGTGCTGTTCGGTGATGACTGAGACTATTAGGTTTGTCCCGACATACAACATATTTCTACAGTGCATCAAAAGACTTGAGATTCTTCTTTCAAATGTAGACTACACTGTGGACATGACCTCAATCTGGATGCACACAATTGGGATTTGGGGCACATTATAATGACCAAGGGGCAACCAGCTGGTCAGAGAACTACAAATATGTTTCTCCTCTCTTACCAGAACATCTGTTTAAAGCCATAAAAAAAATGTAGTTCTCCATTTGAGGGCAAAGATGTACTACCCCAAATGTGGCCCTGTTTTATAAACGTCTCAAAATCTAGTTCTAAAAAGAGTAGGGCTAAAATATCTATTTACATAAATAATCTATATATTTTTTTGTTTCACCAAATATTACATGAACTTGAATACCTTTTTCAAAATGCAGTAGAATACATCCCACCCTGGAAATCTGATAACTAGTTATGGATGTTCCAATATTCCTGTAATGGGATTCCTATAATTTCACATTACTAATGTAAGTCATTCTGGATAAGAGCGTCTGCTAAATGACCATGGTGATATTATTTGTAACCATGGTGATATTACATTCATTCTCAGAGTAATTGTTGTGCATGTTCTGAGATGTTTTTTAACAACATTTGTCATGTGACCCTATGTACGTGTCTATCTCTTAAATCAGTTTTGAGGCATTTCTGCTGACGGTGCAGTTGGCCAATTCTTGCAGGAGGGCCATTAAATGTAGTGAAGCATGCCTGTGTGTCACCCTACATCTCAACAGGCCAAATTGCCCTCAAGTTAAACCCAGTCACTCGCCACTTATCTATAATTTATTTCATTTTGTAATGCAAATGAACATTGCAAAGGCATGCACGTATTACAATAACTGTCTGTCAGAGTAATGTTACCAACAGCCTCGTGCTTCGACTGGCCCAAATAGAAACCTGTTATACCCCTCACATTGTATCTATGGTCATCTTATTGTTGTATATCAGAAATGTGCATCCTAAACAGTACCGTCGGTTATAAAAATGGTAGGTATCTTACTTGTACAAAATCTACATCATATAACTAACATTCAACTGGTTTGTTGATTAACCAAATGTATTTTAATGAGGCCGTGTCAGAATGCTAGGTTACTGCTATTTTTACTTGGGATATTAACTATATTACAGCAGAAATAGTATTTATAGTCCGTCCTTGAGGTGGAGCAGAAATGTGTGTAAAATACTATGACAGCTTTTCCTCTCTATCATGCCACAGCTTGCTCCAGAAGTGGGGGCACTTTTCAAGCCGTGGTACGCTCTGGTAACTAGGGCTCTCTTAGAACATGGAGCTGGAACACTATTTCCCAGAGTCCCTCCAATTCCATTTATTTTCAGCTTCTTACAGTTGAAAAACTATTTTTAAGCAAGATCTAGCCTAAATAATTCTTTCACATTTAAAATGCTGCTGTCTGTAGCTACTGAAAGGATGGCTTGCTCAGAAAAATATGTTTTGATTTAGCCAAAATACTTTTTTTTTAGCCGATTTGTAATATTGGGAAATTTCTGTCTTGCACTCAGATATTTATCTTGTTTTTAGAAAAGGGGAAGAAGAAAGACGAAGACGATGGTAGCAACAGCAAGACTGATCTTTTTGGTATGGCTGCTCCCTTTTACCCCACTCTGTTATGATGTTGTTATGGTAGTTGATTTATCTCAGACCATGGTTCATGTTGTCTATATGGAAATAATGCTGTTATACTATTACATCTCTACAAAGCATATTTCTGCTCTGTGATAAATGTCATTTATATTTGAATTGCAACTGAGGACAAGGCCTAGCGCGCTCTTTAATATTTATATCATCCATATTAATATCTGTGATTTCTGGATACCTTTAAAGACACGGCAGACATAGGGGAGGATAGAGCTTATGGAGGGATCCCCACCCTCTGCACAGAGGACTACGCCAACTTCTGTGAACACGGCCAATGTGAAATCAAGTATAGCATCCCCACCTGCCGGTAAGAAAACATGGTGTCTCATTGTCTTACATACCTGTGTATGCTGTGTTTAATCTCTTTTTGTCCTAATTCATAGATAATTACTGTGTAATTACCATCTCACCATGTAATTTCTTAGTAAACACCTGGTAATTTCTGTATCATGAAATTAAGTGCTAGCGGTTTGGTTGTCTCCCCAGGTGTGACTCGGGCTACACTGGCCAGCAGTGTGAGGAGATCCAAGACTTCAACATCCTGTACGTGGTGCCCAGTGGACAGAAACTCCACTATGTTCTCATAGCAGCCGTCATCGGAGCCGTACAGATCGCCATTATTGTTGCCGTTGTCATGTGTTTCACAAGGTGGGTGTGCTCTCCAAAGTGACCTATCTGATCTTATTAGCACATTTCTGATAAGCAGATTAAAATGTTCTATCTTTTATAAGCCATTTTTTGTAAACAACATGCAGTAGCATAAATGAGTAAGTCTTATGGAAGATGCTATGCCAAATGTAACAATGTTTGTCATTTGACAAAAGGTAGTGACTATAAAAGGTGTAGTGTATGTATACGTTGCTATACAAATGTATACAATCATAATTGATTTAATATTTTTCAAGCTAATTTCTAGTGCTGAGTAATGTGTTTTGTGAGGCATTCAAAAATTACAGTTTGATGTTATTCTGTTGTCTTTTTTTTAATAGGAGGTGTCCCAAAACCCAGAGGGGACGAAGACAACAGCAACACCTTGGACACTTTCCCTCCGGGACTTCATCCAGGATGATGTAGCTGTTTTTTAAATGCATTTTTGCACCACATGGATCACATTTTAATATCTGTTGTTTTGTCTCCTTTATTTTGAATGGATGTTTATTTATTTATTTTCTCTAATGGGGCCTTGTTTTTCTCTCCCTTCTGGACATATGCAGCTCTTGCTGCTTTTTGTCAGACTGCTGCATTATTTCTTTTCTCAGACGGGCAGAAAAAGGACAGCCATTCTACCCTGATCATCCATTGTTTGCAAGGTGGTAGTGGTAGCTTTAGATATACAAACCTTGGACACCTAGGGACCGGACTCATGCTATTTATCAGCGGCACCGACTTTGTCTCAGTACCTTTTCTTTTTTTTTACGAAATACAACTATATACCAAATGCAGTTTTCTATAAATGAGGTATAAGCTGATGTGTACAGTTTGTTTTGGTTATTTTTCAATATACCATTTAAGGGATGGAACAATTTTTTGGACTAGGTACTAATTTAAATGTTTTTATATATAATTTGTTTGTTTTTTATGTTCTAATGTTGTTTGTATTATTGCTAATGAAATAGTTGTAAACAGATTTTATTGTAGATCTTGCATATAGCATGAGCTGTGAAAATGTGTTTAGTGATGTAGTTTTAGTATAATTAAATTATCTGTGTTTCAAACGCTCGTGTTGCCTTCATATTATTATGACTAGTTCAATGACAGAGCCAAAATAATTTTCAGAGAATAATTTATCACAATGTTAAAATTGTTATGGAAGAAAAGGCGTATTCATATGATGTTATTGTAAAAATAAATACACTGGTTTTATTGCAGTTCTTGATTTACTTTGTTAAATAAAAACATCTATAACATTGTATAACATTTGGAATCAAACAGGTATTTTATCAGACAGCATTATCCAATGGCAATAACCATGTAGATTAGCAGCTTGCAGTTTTGTTTTCCCTGGACAGGTCACATGGTCGGGAAAGACTTGGATCCCTAGTTATAAAACTGCATGTACAGTGCCTTCAGAAAGTATTCACACTTTTTGCACATTTTGTTGTGTTACAGCCTGAATTTAAAATGGATTAAATTGAGATTTTTTGTCACTGGCCTACACACAATATCCCATAATGTCAAAGTGGGATCATGTTTTTGAAATTTTTACAAATTAATTAAAAATGAAAAGCTGAAATGTCTTGAGTTAATAAGTATTCAACCCCTTTGTTATGGCAAGCATAAATACAAGTTGCATGGACTCATTCTGTGTGCAATAATAGTGTTTAACATGATTTTTGAATGACTACCTCATCTATGTACCCCACACATACAATTTTATGTAAGGTACCTCAGTCGAGCAGTGAATTTCAAACACAAATTGAACCACAAAGACCAGGGAGGTTTTCCAATGCCTCCAAAGAAGGTCATCTATTGGTAGATGGGTAAAAAAAAGCAGACATTGAATATCCCTTTGAGCATGGTAAAGTTATTAATTACACTTTGGATGGTGTATCAATACACCCAGTCACAACAAAGATACAGGCGTCCTTCCTAACTCAGTTGCTGGAGAGGAAGGAAACCACTCAGGGATTTCACCATGAAACAGTTCCAGAGTTTAATGGCTGCAATAGGAGAAGACTGAGGATGGCTCAACAACATTCTAGTTACTCCACAATACTAACCTAATTGACAGAGTGAAAAGAAGGAAGCCTGTACAGAATAAACTTTTTAAAACATGCATCCTGTTTGCAACAAGGCACGAAAGTAATACTGCAAAAAATGTGGCAAAGCAATTCACTTTTCTATCCTGAATACAAAGTGTTATGTTGGGGCAAATCCAATACAACACATTACTGAGTACCACTCTTCATATTTTCAAGCATAGTGGTGGCTAAATCATGTTATGGCAGTGGAGACTCCTCAGAACAGGAAGGGGAGGACCATCCTACTCAGCGAATTTCATAAAAATAAAAATAGTGGAACATTTTCAAGTTATCCCTTTTAGATAAAACTATACTAAATATATTCACGTCACCAAATAATTGATTGTCACGAATGTCGGTGGAATGCAGTAGGCCAGAGTCAAGCGCAGGACACAGAATGAGATGAAGAAACACTTTACTGAGTAGCAGGGACGGCCTGTTCAATAGGGCGATATGGGCGACGCACTGCCAAACGGGAAAAGGAAGGGATTTTTTTTCTAATCAATTATATCACGGCAACAGTAGTTATCAGTGTTGTAATCTGATCTGACTGCCACTAAATGTCAAATCAGGCTAAAGTCGTGCTTCAAATGGCCCCGCCCGTTTTTGGGCGATTTCAGTCAGGTTGAAAATCGCCCAGAAGTCTCTCATAGCCTGTCATGTAAAATCTATTTTTTTCAAATTTCAAAGCTTTCAATACATTCTCTATGGGTGTCTGTGGGCTTGCACTTACGCGCTTTCGTCATACGTGACGTAACCATGAACGTAACTAAGCAAATAGCGGCTAGCAGCGTCTCTTTGCGACCTGCAGTGTGGCGTTATTTTATGTTTTTAATTTGTACACTTAGTGGCGTTATTTTATGTTTTTAATTTGTACACTTAGTTTACAAACATTCTGCCAACCATGGATTTCGAGTGGTGGGTTTTGGACTGATCTTGTTGATCGTGTACATACCCGCTACGAACGGACTAAATAATGAAAACGTTGCTGGCAGCGGAATCCAATACAACTGGGAGACTTGGCTGGATGACAGAGTCCCGGACAGAGAAGTGGAGCCGGCCGGCTTCACCCTGGTCGGAGCGGACCTCGATCTGACAGTCACAGGGAAAATCGATCCTGGTAAGAGAGCGACTCTGTACCCCCCGAGCCCCGACATTGAACTGCTTTCTGTGTCACTGTGACCTTACTATCTGCCCCGTGAGTTCCCCCAATTGTTTGTTACCGTTGTGTACTGTTGATAATCACAAGTTTACTGGAGAACTGAGACCAAGTAGAGACTTTGGACAGGGTGGATATGCACAAGATTTTAGTCAGACCAAGCTATAACATTATATATTTACTACGACAGTACATTCAACCAAAAGCTAATATAACAAAGGCATCAGAGATTATTTATAATCTGTCACAGAAACTGGAATCCATCTCCCCAGATCAGTCAATAAATGCTTCTGGTATTGACTTATATGCTGCCCCTGTCTTCATGTTGTTGCTGGACATATCATTTTTAAAATGTGTGTAGGTCACCTAAATCATCAGAAAAATTGCCCCTCCTGAGAATTTTTTCAGGAGCCGCCACTGCTGAGTAGTAAAGAAATACAAGCAAAACCCTCCAAAACAACAAAGGAGGAGCAAAACCCGCTCACAAAAGGACACTCGTACAATCAAAATAAACACGAACACCAAACAGTGGAAGTGAACAGGTTAAATAGGAAGACAAACTAACATAATAGGGGACAGGTGTGCAACAACATACAACAATCAAATGAACATAGAAACATATAACATAGAGCGGCAGCAGCTAGCACTCCGGTGATGACGAACGCCGAAGCCTGCCCGAGCCAGAAGGAAGGGCAGTCTTGGCAGAATCCGTGACAGTACCCCCCCCGGCCTCGGGGATGGCCAGGAGGACGCGATGCGGGGCGAGTGGCGCAGTGGTCTAAGGCACTGCATCGCAGTGCTAGCTGTGCCACTAGAGATCCTGGTTCGAATCCAGGCTCTGTCGTAGCCGGCCGCGACCGGGAGACCCATGTGGCGGCACACAATTGGCCCAGCGTCGTCCAGGGTAGGGGAGGGAATGGCCGGCAGGGATGTAGCTCAGTTGGTAGAGCATGGCGTTTGCAACGCCAGGGTTGTGGGTTCAATTCCCACGGGGGTCCAGTATGAAAAAAAAAAATATATAATAATAATAATGTATGCACTCACTAACTGTAAGTCGCTCTGGATAAGAGCATCTGCTAAATGACGTAAATGTAAATGTAATGATTCTGATGGAATTCTCTCAACAAGGAGGGATCGAGGATATCCCTCCTAGCAACCCAGCAGCGCTCCTCCGGACCGTACCCCTCCCACTCCACGAGATACTGCAGGCCCCCCATCCAACGCCTCAAATCCAGGATGGAACGGACCGAGTACGCCGATGTCCAGTGGGGGCGGAGGAACCTCCCGTATCTCAGACTCCTGGAGTGGACCAGCTACCACCGGCCTGAGGAGAGACACATGGAACGAGGGGTTAATACGATAATTAATAGGAAGCTGTAACCTATAACATACCTCGTTCAATCTCCTCAGGACTTTAAATGGACCCACAAACCGCCTACCCAACTTCCAGCAGGGCAGGCGAAGGGGCAAACCCTTGAGGTGAACTGGGAACCCCGATCAGACACTATATCCTCAGGCACCCCGTAGTGCCGGAAGACGTGTGTAAAAAGGGCCTCGGCAGTTTGTAGGGCCGTAGGGAGTCCGGGCAGAGGAAGGAGGCGACAGGACTTAGAACACCGATCCACAACGACCAGGATGGTTGTGTTCCCTCTTGAGGGAGGAAGATCAGTCATAAAATCCACCGATAGGTGGGACCACGGTCCTTGTGGAATGGGTAGGGGTTGTAATTTCCATCTGGGCAGGTCTAGGAGCCTTACACTGGGCGCACACCGAGCAGGAGGAAACATAAACCCTCACGTCCTTGGCTAAGGTAGGCCACCAGTACTTCCCACTAAGACCCTCTGGACACTGGGGAGGAGAGGGTTCGCTACGTAACGCCCGCTCGATGTCCGCGTCAACCTCCCACACCACCGGTGCCACCAGACACGACGCCGGAAGTATGGGAGTGGGCTCCACGGAACTCTCCTCTGTGTCATACAGTCGGGACAGAGCATCTGTCTTAGCATTCTGGGAGCCCGGCCTGTAAGAAAGGGTGAAAACAAAATGGGTTAGAAACATGGACCACCTTGCCTGGCGAGGGTTTAACCTCTTCGCCGCTCGGATGTACTCCAGATTGCGGTGGTCAGTCAAAATGAGAAAAGGGTGTTTAGCCCCCTCAAGCCAATGTCTCCACGCTTTCAGGGCTTTGACCACCGCCAACAACTCCCGGTCCCCCACATCATAGTCTTCGAAAATAAAGCACAGGGGCGGAGCTTGGGTGGCGTGCCCGAGCGCTGAGAAAGTACAGCGCCTATCCCAGCCTCAGATGCGTCCACCTCCACCGTGAAGGAGGGATCCGGATGAGCCAGCAATGGAGCCGAGGTAAACAGGTCCTTCAGGCGACTAAAAGCCCTGTCCGCCTCAGCTGACCACCGCAGACGCACTGGTCCCCCCTTCAGCAACGAGGTAATGGGAGCCGCTACCTGACCAAAGCCCCGGATAAACCTCCGGTAGTAGTTGGCAAACCCCAAGAAACGCTGCACCTCCTTTACCGTGGTTGGAGTCGCCCAATTACACATGGCCGAAATGCGGTCACTCTCCATCCTCACCCCAGACACGGACATGTGGTACCCTAGGAAGGAGATGGACTCCTGAAAGAACAGGCATTTCTCTGCCTTAGCATACAGGTCATGCTCCAACAGTCTTCCAAGCACTTTACGCACCAGGGACACATGCTCGGCCCTTGTAGTGGAGTATATAAGTATGTCATCAATATACACCACTACCCCTTGTCCGTGCAGGTCCCTAAAAATCTCATCCACAAATGATTGGAAGACTGATGGAGCATTCATTAACCCGTATGGCATGACAAGATACTCATAATGTCCAGAGGTGGTACTAAATGCCGTCTTCCACTCATATCTCTCCCGGATGCGCACTAGGTTGTACACGCTCCTGAGATCCAATTTTGTGAAGAAGCGTGCCCCGTGCAATGATTCCGTCATACTAGCT